TCTTGCGATCGACAAAATAATAGTTCATTTCAATAACAATAGAATAGTAACAGACAACACGAAGAGCAATGGAAAGACGCTTCACAAATGTTGTCTTGTTTGATGATGATGATTGACAGGCAATTGTAACAACACACTCACTTGGGAATTATTCAACAACTTTCTATGCAATACGTGAAAGCTTGTACTGGTGAAGAATATTCACAAACAAACTTCAAGTCATAAACTTTGCACTCAAAGATGGCTTCATTAAATTTTGGAACTGTATCGACTAAGATAAGTTTGGAATACTGTGCGTATCATTATTCATGAAGTTAAAATGGATTCTACAATCTGCATTAAATTATGGAAATTATGAAAGAAAAAATATCAATTAATAAGAAAATAAATAATAAATAAAATCTCTGTTTCTGAGATAGAAATAAATTTTGATTTCTTATGAATGAATTAAAGAGATGAATATGATATATATCATTGGATATATCATGTGTTATGAGAAAAAAATAAAATGTTAATTTCGTAATTTGAACAAATATCAAAATTAATTTCGTCTTTTTTCAATCAACTATTAGTTTGATAGATTGGAAATATGATGTGGAATTGAATGATATCTGGAAATGTTTGTCATTGAGTCTTGTGAACTTGAAATACTTAGATTGTGATGGTTATAAGACTTTGAAACTTTCAATCTTTGGAGAATAGTTTGTTTTGAAGTAAGGACAGATGGTGATGAATTTGGTAAATTCAAATGGTCCAAAGAGTAATGGTGTCAATTTAACCTTGAACAAGATGTTTAAGTATATCTGCAGAAATGTATGATTATAAAAAAAGTTGTGTTCTTACGGAGATTCTGAATGAAAAAAATTAATGGTTCTGTTATTGGATCATATGAAAGAGGATAAAAGAATGTTTTAAATACAATGGTAAACATGTATTAGAATTTGTATGGAAATTCTGTATTTTTTAGTTAGATCTAGAAGAAATAATTACATTTGTTGAATTTTCGTATTATAAAAGGAGTTTAAGAGATAGTTTCAGAGAAAGATTTGTAATTGATGGTGAATAGTTACATCAAAAGAATATACAAAGAGTTCTAAAGTTGTTGGGTGTTAATTTATGAAAAGTTATGAAATATTGGTATCTATTTCAAGTAACTTGTAAGAAATCATAAAGTTTGTATAGTATTAATGGTGTTAGATATGTTAAAACACAATCAAAGTATCTTGTTCTTGCAAGATATGATAATTGTGAATCTAATTCATATGGTGATACTATGTACTCGATGTATTCATTTATAAGTTCTTTCTTCAATTGATTTTTGATAATATTCAAATGCTGATGGTAATCGCAGTTCTTTTTAGAATTGTTGAGTAATAAGTAAAGCTTCGTGTCACTCTTCTTGATGCTTCTGATTTGTAATTAACTTGGAAGGAAGTGATTGACAATCAAAAGCAACATAAGGTGTAAGGCCACGCTTTTGGACAGCAAGGATTCGACTCATTACTTATGGTAATATCTTTTCCCCTGTTTTTATTCCTTGATGGAAGAGATAAAAAATTTTTCTTAAAAATTTTGACGAGGGAAGTAGTTTTCTGAAGTTTACAATTCATTTTAGGAAGAAAAAGTATTTAATCTTTCTCAATCTTCTGGTGATGTTTGGGAACTCTTTTACAATACACCACCTAATTCAGAACCTATTTGTGGCACAAACGTTACAGCTAAATCGACAAATAATGAGTGTTTCATATTTGAAAGCATATTTATCGCTATTACGACCAATAGTGCCATTTATTTTACGAATACAAACAATAAATTCCTTAATTCCGATTGTTCATTTACTAACTGCAGCAGTAATACAGAAGGTGGATCTCTCTACTTTAACTGTGATAGTTCCATTGTCCAATACCGAACATGTGGCTACAAATCAAAAACAAACGATCAAGGACATCATTCATATGTTAAATTAGTTTATAATTCAAATAATAAAAATTATCTTTATGAAAGTTCTTTTTATGAATGCGGAAATTTAGAAAAACCTAGAACAAATAGTCTTTGGTATGGAAATATTGAAGTTAAATCAATCAACACAAGTTTCTGTGAAGCAAACTTTGACTCAGGAATACTTCTATATGAACCAACAAGTCTAAGTAACGTAACATATTCATCATTTTGTAACACAACATCATATTATATAATTTTAGAATTAGATAGTGGTAACTATAATTTTAATTTTTGTAATGTTTTGAATAATGAACACAAAAAATCTGATTATGGAACATTCTATGCATTTGGATCAACTGTTCTTATTGAAAACTGTTCATTTCTTGGAAACAAAGGATCAGAAAAAGAATTTATCAAATAATGGTGGTTCAATTACAGTTAAAATTCTTTCTGTGACAGAATAATAGATAAAACATAAATCAGTTACAACAAATAATGTTCAAAATATATATTCTATTCATAATCTTTCTCACTTTTCATCATATCTGTGTGAAGCAGAGTTTCCTATTATAGATAAAAAGCCTATGAGATCTGCTTTTGATTTATATCATCAATTTTCCTTTAGACGAAGGCATTAATATTCATGATTTATGAATTTATATAATCAAAAAATTGTAATTAAAGACCATTATTAACGAAAGCATTCATCAATTGTTTAATATCAATTGAAATATGAAAAACTTTATATTCAAAAGATGATGCGGCTTGATTTCTCAATTTAATTTTCAAAGAGTTCGTATTTGTTACAGTGAATTTAAATAATTAGTACTGATATAGTAATGCAATAATATCGGGAACATGGCTCTTAATTTCGAAATAGGTTTTCTTTGTAAGGCATCTAAGTATTAACAAACTGATATTTCAATAAAGAGTTCAATATTATAATAGAAATTTGCTATGACAGAAAGAATAAAACTATAGCAAAAAGAATTATTGTTATTTCGATGATATTTTGTAATATTCTTCGTTTACAAATGATTGGACATTGTATCTTGGGGAGATGTTGGATAATAAATTTAACGATTTCTTATTCAATTCTATTATATCATTGCTATCTTGAAGTGGAAAATTTTTCTTAAGAGTGCACTTACACCTGTATTACATGTCCTTCGATTCAGATGTTTAAGGTTAATTTTCAATGACACTTCACGCCATTTGTCAGAAATTTGAATTAAAGTCAGATACGCGTAAGTGCACCCTTAAGAACATTTGTCATTACAAGTATAAGTAAAGACACTCAAGATGCATTTTTGTCATTCAATAATCTATTCTCTCGCTATTGCAAACAATTTCAAATGTCGCATTCAATTTCTGTGTAATACAATATCATTCACTAGGATCAGTTTATTCATAACTTTACTCACTTTTCAACATATTTCTGTAAAGCAGGATAAATATGCTTCCAATACGTAACATCATTTATCATTTTTTTAGACAAGTGCGTTAATTTTTCAAGGATTTATTATTATCGTTTTTTATTATTAAAAATAATTTTTTTACAAACAAAAAAATAAAAAAAACTCATTTATTTAAAAGAAGATTAATGATATCTTCGTTCTTTGTCTGGAGTGCGACGTCTTTAGCTGTGTGTCCTTCGCTGTCAACAACACTCAAATCGAGGTCTTCACGAGAAAGGAGAACTTTGACAACTTCGATTTTTTCGTTTTCAATAGCGTTGAAAATAGGAGTTCGCTTCATCAAGTTCTGACGGTTGACATCGACATTTTCGTGTTGAAGCAACTCTTCGACGAAACTAGTTGAGCCGCATTTAGCGGCAACATGGAGAGGTGTCCACTGGATTGAGTCGACGCAGTTCAAGTCAACGTCATCTCGATCGGCGAAAAGACGGATTAAGTCTGAGAAATCATTAGATGCAGCGATGTGAAGAGGTGTGAAACTAGAATCATCAGGAAGTTGTGGATTGACATCTTTGTCGTTCAGAAGACACTCAACGCACTGTTTGTGGTGGAGAAGAACTGCGTAATGAAGAGCACTGCGATTCTTCTTGTCGACGATGTTCTTCTCGATGCCTGGAAAACTCAAGAGAAGTTCTAAAGCTTCGAAATGTCCGTCACGAGCTGCCCGGATCAATGCTGTACGTGATGAGTTGTTAGTGGCATTGACATCAATGGATGGATCAGAAAGAAGAAGTCGCAGAACACGTGTGTGACCATTAATTGCTCTCAACATAACACTTTAATTGTCAACATCTTCTTACAGTTAAAGAATTCTGTAACAAATTCAATTTATTTGATTTATCAGATACTAATGTTTTAAAAAAGCATATTGTTTTGATCAATTTCATCTAATTCAATATTGCATTCTATTACTGCTACTAAACAATTCATTGTTTCGGCATATTCCATACAATTCGTATTTGTCAAAAAATTAACATTCAAATTCCCAAA